CAACTGATTCTGCGTTCGAGTTCCCTCGGAAGTCAGATGTCGGAGCTGGAAATGACGTCACACCTGAGTTCCCAGTATTTCAGTTACCAAGTTGAGAAAAAGCAAAATCAGAGGCTGAAGTTATTTTATAGTGCTTGCTTATTTTTGGACAAGGCAAGTGCTAAAATAACTTTCGTCGATGTAGCCATCTTGTTTCAGCCTCTGATATTGCTTTTTTCCGACTTGGTAACTGAAACGCTGGGAACTCGGGTGTGACGTCATTTTCAGCTCGGACTTCTGACTTCATAGATCACTCGAATGCAGCATGAGGTCATTTGAATATGCTAAGGGTTGCCATGACATCTAAGGGATTTATTAAGTAATTTCTAAGTTACTTTCTTTTTAGTAGTGTGTCATAGTATAACAGATTTACTTTTTCTGAATTTATTTTAAAGTAAGAAAAATTATTTCAATTATTTAATTAATAAATTAATTATTTTAATTTCTTTTATTTAATGTCACTGTGAGCATACTAATGTTGCAGTCTAATCCAAATATTACATTTGTAAATATATCGTTATTCCGCTTATCTTTTAGTGAATAAAAGAACTCACCCTTTAGTAAACAAGGAAACTAGCTCAGCTTTGGCACATCTGGCCCATCCTGCTCCTGAGGTATCTCTCCACCTGTTAAATCCTACCCCTCCCACCACTCATAATACACAGCATGTCCCACATACAAGCGGGCAGGTCTCCCGGGGTCTCAACAATGGGGACCCCTCCTCAAAGACAAGAGGAAACATTTGGGGATTACAACACAAGTTTTTTCAGAGTCAATCACCTAGAAAAGAGGAGGCCCTGAAAAGAAGCTCAGACCACTGTAAGGTCACCAGAGAGCAGAGACGAGGGGGTAAATGCAGGCGTGCTGAGAGCGTAAAATGTGAATTAAAACTCACTCAGGGATGAAAAAAAAATGTGGCACAGCTTTTCTCACATTTCAAGATGAGCTCACAATAGCTGTCAAACTAGCATGAGTCAGTTGTTGCTTGGAAATAGAGTAAAAAAGTGGTAGTGAGTGATTTGCTTATTATCCTTATTGTGCTGCGGTGTAATTTTACCACAATTTGATGAAATAGAAGTTAACCACACACACTAATACACAAATACACAAACACACACACACACACACCGGGACTCCTAATGGTGATGAGTCTTCTAGTGCAATTACTCACACAAAGTTTTATCCGCCATCATTATTCTCAAAGCCATGAATAATTCATGGTTGGATTCTCTTGAGCATGTGTCGCCTGAAAACTCAAAATCACATTTTCTCATTTGTACACTTTGTGCCAAGTCATGACATGGCACATATTGAGATAGACGGCAATTACTGTTTATCTGTGTTAAGCTGGATGTAATCACAGGACACTGGAGCTGTGGATTTACACTCTGCAGTAGAGAAATAACACAATTTCTTGCAGTAGATTGTGCAGAAGACTCTTATCGGGATCGAAATGTGGTTTATGTGTTTATCATTGTTGTATTGTTGTTTTCCACATACCTTTATTGACACTCCTATACACTACTTCAAGTGGGGAATGTGCTGCACACTGACTCGCACACTTCACCGCAGCTCATTTAATAAACACTCGTGTGCGTGGCAAAATCTGATTAGCTCCCAAAGACCCTGAAAGTCGTGGAATTTCACAATGAGATCACGCACATGGCATGTAAAAGTAAAAGTCATGCATGGCTCAATGAATAACTTCCACACACTTGATATTCACTAGACGTGGATAATCCAAATAGAAAAAATTTAGGGTATTTTTTTGTTCACTTAGTCGCATAAAAATCAATTTAACCAATTTAATGATATAAATAAAAATGTGAATTCGTGTTAATTATCTAACAATTTGTCAGTTATTTATTGATACAGAATATAACTCAGGGAGACTCAACATTTAAGCTCGGCACCCAGGAAAAAAAAAGGTTTTAATTGGCAGAAGTCTTGAGTGGAACCAGACACACTGTTGAACAGCCATCTGCCTTCACCAAATGGGACAATGGGAATCTCAAGCAAATTTCCAAATAACATTTTAAACATCCATCTATAGTTGCTACACCTCTGAAATCTGACATTTAACTCCTCCCTTCTCTTGTTAATAGAATAAAATAAAATAAAACAATTGAAAATAAAAGATTTTGTCTCACAATCAGAAAGCATCCTTGATGATAAATGAGATGTGATAAATTACGATTAGTTTTTATTCAACCAACCTTGAAGTGAGAATCCATTTGCCGACACACTGCAGTTTCTGTTGAGTCACTGTTTACTCAAAGTGCTACAAAAAGGTCAATGATTTGAGAGACTCTCACTTAACTTGATAATCTTGTAGTCGTATTTTACATAGTCAGGTAAAACGGCAAACGGAAACTGATTTAGTTAGACACATCCATACGCTACAATCACTAAAACCAAATAGAGTAAATTAAACACTAAATGTAAGTGTATGGAGATCATAATACTGTAACTGAAACAGTCTTGCAAATAAATGCATCACTTTTGCTTATTTGAAGTTCAATTTTTTTAGAGCAGAAAAATATAAACCAAAAAAATTAAAAGTAATCACAAATAATTTGAATGTGATCCAAAATCTCTCTTCTTATTTTTAAAACTCTTTAAAAACTCTTTAACTTTCCCACATTTAGTATCATTTTCCAAACCAGAACAGATGAAAAAGCAGGCACAGCTCTTTTAAGGGTGGAGGATTTGTGTGACACTTTAATAAAAGGTTCAGCGGTAAAGAAAGCCAGAAACCCAAATAAACTGTTTCGGTTAACCACAATGTGCGATTACCTGAAAATTCACCTGCGTTTTTCTCAGTAGGCATCTTTCAGCAAATAGGTGTGTTTTCCCTGACAAAATCACTCTTTGATGGTTTTCCCTGTTGTGTTTGTCTTTTGTCGCGGGTTGGACAGCCTGTCTTTATTCCTTGCTAGCAGGGTGGCAGACCTTCAGAGGCTTTTCCAACCACTGTTTTCATGGTTTAAAGCTTTCATCTCATTTGCCAGCTGAGGAAGTGTCATGCTGCTGTGGAGTGGCGTGTTGTTTTATTGTGAAGGGCAGCCTCAGCTTGTCTTCCTCATCGGGGGGTCAAAGCACCCTGCTCGCTAAAGGAAACCAAGCTGGCCTTAATAGGACAAAGTCCGGGCATTGATTTGACAAAATAGTATTTGGAATTAGATGTTGCAGCACAAGCAAATCACAGCTGGGGTAAAAACAATTCTCCCATCAGGGGGCAGTTTTTCCTGAGGGGGACTACTGTACCCCCTGCCTCTTTTAGAGGATCAGAGCCCCGTCTTAGAGCAAAGAGACAAATTTCCGGATGAAAACTAAATTTGTCTTTTCAGAGGTGAAAGAGGGAAACATGTGTTTGCTTATTAGCTTAACGGGCGTTAGCCTATTAGCTAAAGGGTAATTACAATAACTCTCAGTGGCAGAAGATAAGTTGGTGATTAAACTTTTAAACAAAGAATTAGATCATAAAAAAGCTTGAAATAGTGCTGAAGTCTTTTTGTCGGATTTCCACCCTGTATTTCACAACTTCAGCCCTCTCTTCATTAGCAGGTGTTTCTTTCATCTTTTTTCATCTTCCTTCATCTTTTCTTGATCAAAGCGTAGAAATATCCGCCGAATGATTAAGTCTGAGAGTCAGAGTTGAAAGTCCCTTTTACAAAAACCTTGAGATTTAGGTCTTCTTTTTTCCGTCCGAGTATAATTTGGAGTTGCGTGCTTAAACCCTCACGAAAATCAAGCTCTCATGTTTCCACTGAATATATTTTCCCAGGTATTCATTGAGAAAAAAAGACTACTTAAAAGTTGATGAACTGTAATTAAAACAAACACTTGTGAAAGAACATACAATAAAAGCCACTACGAAGTTAATCACTTGTCAAAGGGCTCATTATTATAGGAGAGGGACAGGCCTGACGAGAATTGGACAAAAGCAACACTGCAGAGGCACTTGAGTTTCAATGAGGCTCTCTGCTGGTGCTGGGGTGACATCAGAGGTCCTCTAAGCTGTCCTTTGTATCCTTTCCTTGTACGCTTCATCTCTGGGGCCCGTCCCTCTTGTTCACACCAGCAGGTTGTTTTCTCGTCCTCTTACTGAGCCCTGATCCCAAAATTAGAAGCTTTCAGAAAATGCCACATATGACCCTGTTGTGACCTTGTTTGTCATATTGAAGAAAAGCCACTTTCTTTTGTACGAATTTGGTCTAAACAGTGGGAAACACCTGGGTCTATTTGAAATATTTGTATTTTATTACTGTGTGTAAAAGTCATGGATCACAAGCAGAGGTACGACACCTTAAAACAGGATTTGTGATGCTTGTGGTTGAATGAAGGCCCATCAATGACTTTGTATTGGCTTTGCTAATGGGTAATATTGAAAATTAGACTATATACAGTATTTGACAGTTATCAATCAATCAATCAGTCTTTATTTATATAGCGCTTTTCACACACGACCATGCAGCACAAAGTGCTTTACACAGAAAAAGGAATAAAAGAAACAAAGAATACTCGAATCTACCCCAACCCAACCCCTCATTCCCACCCCACGATCTAAACGCAACAGAAACAGTATTAAAATGCATAAACTTAAAAGGCCTTGATTTTGAGGAAACAGGAATGTGGGCACTGAGGAAACACAATTTTAAAATCCAAGATAAGGAAACACTGGAGGTTTAAGTTAAAATCTAAAAACAAAGTAACATTGAATGAAATTTAAGAAATAATAAATAAAACGAAATAAAAACAACAGTAATAGATACTAAAATAAGAGCACTAAAAGAGCTCAATAAAAGACGATTCTGTCATTAAAACTAGAAAGAGTTAAATGGTAAAACACTTGAACAAAGTGAATGATATAAAATTTATTTAAAAGTAAGACTACGAAGTTATGTTTTGAGTTTGATTTTAAAATCATTAAGATTCGATGCAGTCCTCAGGTTTTCAGGTAGACAGGGGCCATAGTAATAAAAAGATGCCTCACTGTATGTCTTGGTTTTAACTTTAGGTAAATGTTAACAGAGAACTTCCTGAAGACTGAGGGCTCTACCTGCTTAATAAGGTAAATTAAACATCCCCTGCTGATCCCAGGAGGTCTCTAAAAACAGTAAATGTCCTAGCAGGCTGCTTGCACGTAAGACCCATACAGCTGTCATTTTTAAGTTGCCACAGTCTTATTTTCATAAATTTATCAGTCAGTGTTATGCAAATATGTTCCATACAAACATTCACTACATTGCAGGTTTTGTTTTTGTATGTTGATAGTTGATTGCAAGTTGAAATAGATGGTTTATTATGACTATGTTCAATTTTTTGCGGACGACACTATATTTTATGTTATCATTCGTATCAGTAAATGTATAAACTTGAAACTACTCACACCACCTTTTTTGTAACAGTGCACTTTTGAAATGCACTTTCAGACAGACTAAACTCTAACTCAGACATGACTTGCTTTGTTCTTACATAAACAGGAAAGAGATAGCCATGAGATACACATTGTTTTAATCCTTGCTGTTGAACGCTGACTATTCTATCTTTAATATCTTTAATTATTCAGACTGCTGTACACCGATTAGCCCATAACAGACAAGTTCCTCTGGACTGACTTCACAGAAATTATAATACGAGTGTCTTTTATAAAAGCTTTTTTTTTTTTTTACACTTGTAAACAATTCTATATCTTCAAATATAAAGGTGTATTTTCTCACACTCTCTAAAGCTTCTCCAAGAGGATCTTAACCAAAATGTGGACAATGGCCATGATAAGATGTGTTTGCGATTCAGGGTGTCATGATCAGATAAATTCCCCTAAGCTTGTGAACTCAAGGTTGCAGCTCTTAGAATCTGAAGCCCGCATCAACTCTGGGACTTCAGTTGTACAATTATACAACATCTAAAATGATAAAAGATCCCATTTATCTTTGGTTGTTGTAGGTGCGAGGGGGTTAGATCTTCAAAAAGTTCCCCAAAGATCCACACAGCGTCCCCCATTTGTAAATGTTTTTGGAAATGGTGCTTTGTTCACACCTGTGGTCAGCCCTTTATTTTTGTATTTATCCTTTATCTGAGTTGAATCTGCATGCAGCCAGCATTTTGCAGTCTGTAGTTCTGAATAGACTGCAGTGTGTATTGTTATCTGTTCCTGAGTCTCTGTACTTGACTGATTGTGGTTCCAAGAGACTTTGAACCGTATCCAGGTGTCAGTCCTTGTAGATGCATGTTGCTGCAGTTTGGTGCCAATAGAACTCTGAAAGACAACAAAATTTCCCTTAAAGTACAAATCTTAATTTGATTTAAAGGGATATTCCAGTGTAAAATTAAGTCAGGGTCAAACACACAGTAACACAGAGTTACACCCCTTCGAGAGATGAATGTTGCCGACCGCTTGCTTCTCTAGTTATACCAACTTTAGGAATGACCGTACAATAGCAATACACAGCAGTCTGAGGAGCCATAAACAAACAATTTAAGTGCCACTCTTGCCACAAATAATGCTCAGAACAGCACCTAACTTCATCAACAGTACATAGTACTAGCCACCAAACATCTTTTTAGCTTTGCCTGATTTCTTTAGCAAAGAGACTAAACACAACTCACCTACTCTCTTCCAGCAGCCACTTGTTTGTAGCAAGACCTCGGGCCAGTCTATTATGGAGTACAGCTCAAGACGCAGCTCAAGGAAGAACATTTATGATTATGTCTTTATGGAAACGCAATCAGACCAAGACGCTAAGGCAGAAGAACTACCATGTCTGAAGTGCAAAATGATTGATATGGTGATTATTACTTTAAGGAAATGATAAAGTAATGATCATAAATGTTCTTCCTTGAACTGTGTCAACCCACTGCTACAAACAAGTGGCTGCTGGAAGAGAGTAGGTGAGTTGTGTTTAGTCTCTTTGCTAAATAAATCAGGCAACGCTAAAAAGATGTTTGGTGGCTAGTACTATGGTTGGGACTCTATATGTACTGTTGATGAAGTTAGGTGCTGTTCTGAGCATTAGTTGTGCCTACAGAGTGGCGTTTTGGTTGAGGTTTGTTTATGGCTCCTCAGGCCGCTGTGTATTGCTATCGTGCGGTAGTTACTAAAGTTGGTATAACTAGAGAAGCAAGCGGTCAGCAACATTCATCTCTGTGATTGGATCTCAAAGTCGACAGAGACAGTGATTGAATGTTTGTGAATGTAAAGTATGTAAAATTAAATCCTGGTTCTATTTTTTCTCCAAACTAGCAGCCAAGGTTATTTCCAGATTACAAACACTGGACACATGCCAATCACTGCAGACAGACTGTATTTGTTATAACTAGTGGGTTTTGAAAACTTGTGAGTAGTTTGTGTGAAACATACGTGCCTCAGTGAGTCTCCATTCGTCTAAAGGTCATGCTCTGTAACAGTTAATCACTGCGGGAAAGAGGTTAGAATAACTAAGATGAAATAAAAATGAAGATTCTATTGTGATCTGTGTATTCAACCGTAACAGACCTATTATGTCTCAGCAGTTCTGAGAAATGAATGGAAAGTACGTGAAACATCAGGTCACAGGTATGCTAGGGGTAAAGACATCAGGGCAGGTGAGACTGGAACTTTAAATCTGATGGAAAGTACCTTTGGTACATTTTTTATAACTTTCTCTAATAGGAGAATTCTTGCTTTTCTATTTAAATGAATTGGATTCAAACAGTGTATATCCTGCTCACCAACTCACCTACATACTTCTACTTGCCTAACAGTTTCATGTTTCCTCTAATCTCAGCCGCAACTCACATCTGATCTGTTCGCAGATTGCAGTCACTATCAGAGACAATGTTTAACAATTTCCAAGCTGTTATTGTCTGAAACTGAAAGCCTAAAATATTTTCCCATAACACCCTGACAGAGATGTACAGGACTGATGTCTCCCCCTCTGCGCTCTGTGATCGTCTGATAGTACATTCACCTCCTTCTTTATGCTTCACCTCTCCCTTTCCTTGTTGTCGTTTTGTTCTCAACGGTTATTGCAATCTGGATGTGTTTCAGATTGTTTCACTCTGACCTGGTATCGCCACAGATAAATAGTTGACAAGTTTGGACATATGGGAAATGCAGGCCTGTAATAACACACATTTAGCACGTAGATCTTTTGAACATTTAAAGCAAGCATAAAATACTCCAGTGAGGATTATTTTACTGAATATAACAGGCGCAAATTAATAACAGTGTCACTTTACGACCTACTAAAGAAACTAGACCACAGGGGGAAAGGCTGATTAATTCTATGAAGTTAATCTAATGCATGTTACCGCTTTAAGGGGAGGTGACGCAAAACACAATCCAGCAGCGCCCTTAACTACTTTACCTGTTATGGTTCTCAGTAAATTGTGCATTTGACACTTTGTCTTTTTGATTAAAGAGCATGTACAGTACCCACTGACTAATGGATGGCTATTAGACGTCTAGCTTTTCTAACCCTAATTTCAACCGTCTAGATATTTTTAGATAGAATTCAGATGTTGCATTTTTACCCATTATTTGATAACTATTTATTTCAAAAAGCAACTGTGAGTTGTATAACTGATCTCCAAGTACTTAACCAAAGTAATTATGGAAGCCATTGGGCAATAGTCAGTGTAGTACAGATAAAGCCCAGATTTAGATGACTTGGTTTAAATTTGGTCTAAATTTGGACGTCTAAAAAACTTTCATTTTTAGACCTGTGGTAGCCTGATTCTAGACCAGTCGTCTAGGCTGCATTTAGATGTCTATTAGACTTCTCTTAGACCAAAAACTGCCCGGTGTGTATGTGGTTTCTCATGCTTCTGCAGTTAGTTTTTAAGCAGGCACTCTGGGAACTGCAGTTTTTCCCAACTGAAACACGAGATCTGAGTAGATTATACCCCACTCAGACAGGAGACAGAATTTTTCAGTCAGTACTATTTCTAATATCGACAAGACAACCTAGTATTTTTGTTTTGTAAGAGGATACTTTTTATGTTAGGGCAAAATGAGCAAAGAGAGATGAACAGCTTTTGCAAAAGTAAAACTCCTCATTGTAGCTTTAAAGCTGATGCGATCAAAACATTCCCAAAGAGGGTATAAATAAAGTCATGAAAATTACATTTCTTTCTCTTGATTCTTAATTCATCCTCAAGCTGACATCAGATTAAATGTTCTGCGAAGAATTTCTAAGTCATCTTACCGCTGGAGGAAATCTTTTCAGCACACAGAGGCTATCCAGCAGCGTTTGCCATCAGAATGATGATAGATCCTCTCACTCAAGACCCTGTAAACAGTGTCTTGGAGGTCTGATTGTTTGCTTATTTTGGTATGAGAGTGAATAGGGTGAGAATCTTTCTTTCAGTGGGGCTCAGTAGGGACATTTATGTTTCATCTTAAACTATCAATACTTAATACAGAATTTACTCAAGATTCTGTGTAAAGTTGGCGTTGCTGTTTCCCAGCGCCAACAAAGTTTTCCCACGTTTCGAGCGCATTCATTTCCTTGTTCACATTTTTACAAAAAGAACATGCACTTAGGAACCTGATTCTCCAAATCCCCCACAGGGGGTTGTGCTCATCTGCCACTAAGTTATGCATTGTTAAGCTGCAAAAGCTCTTGTTGCAAGTGTAACGTTAAATAAGGACGCTCCTTTGGCAAGAAACAAACAGAGTGTGGCCAGAACATGAGAGCAGAATGAGGAACTCTCAGGGTTCAATCCTAACCTGTTTAGACAGTGAAGGTTGCATTCACTGGCACCTAACCAGAACCTTTCAAGCTACTAATGTTCCCATCACACACAAACATAAACACATACACCAAGTATTAGCACAGAGGGCACTTATATGCACACCACACTACACAATGAGCCTGTATGTAAAAGTGAACCAGCATTTCCGTATAGAAATGCCTCTTTGTTGATGCAGATGTAATATGCATGATTAAAACAGGTACACATGGGTGCAAACTCACACACACACAACCCACCCACACACACACAAACTCACACTCATTTATACCGAGCGCTCTTGAGCAAACTCTGCTGTCTTCGGCCTACTATTGTTCACTACCACTGAGGCATTGCCGGGCTAAGTGAGGGGCCCTGATGGATACCTACCAGGCTCAGACCACCAATAGAGGTGTGAGGGGAGGGGAGAAACAGAGAACGCAAATGGAAGAATATTGGATAGGGGAGGAGAAGATGGGAGCAGATAGGAGGATATTGAATCCAAGGGAAGAGGTTTAGGAAAGGATGGAAAATTTATTGTCCTTTGTTTTCACATGCACAGGTGTATGTGAGAGTGTGATACGGATGATTCCTTTTTTAGCATGGATGGCAATTTAATTTGATGGTTATCCTTTCTGGATTAGGAAAAGCCAAATCTGTAATCTGATTTGAGGTGCAACAAAAATATGAGCAGAAATCTTCCATGTCTAACCTGGGATTTCCACATCACCTGGAACCGCAGCGATTTTCGCCGTATACCAATTCCTACCGGATTCGTTTGTGAGGTGAATTTCGTAGCGGTTTACGGACAGCAGTAATCGCAAGAACTCACAAGAACCTGTGGATTCACGTGCAATCACGCAATAACAAGTTGTCTTTAGCCACATAGCCTAACCGTATAAGCAGTAGACTGTGTCCTTCCAGAGGAGGAAATCCACTTCTAGACTTCTAAAATCAGCACCTGCTCATCCATGGTGTCATTGGGATGAAATGCTGTCTATAAACCTTTGACTTGTTCGTCCCCGCCCATTTGGAGCATTTCATTTTGAAAAAAAGCCGGATGTTTTATTTTGTGTCTGTGCCTGACTTAATCTGTGTTGAATTTATCCGGCATGCTCCTGCGTCTGGAAAAAATATAACCGTTGCGATCAGCTGCAGAGTCCGGCGATCCGCAGCTGAACGGAAAGAAGCCGGTGGAAATTGACACATTAACTTGAATGGTTACGATCAGCTATGATCGGTGAATACGGCCTTTTCATAGCCGTTCCGGATGCATTGGAAATTGGGGGTATGAATGAAGACTCTGCTTAACACTGCAGTTCCTTTACTGTCCACTAGAGGCTGACCCCAAAAGTCTAAGTGACGCTATTAATACCTGTGTTAAAATGCCCACCTTTACTGCAGAAGTAGCCCTTTATTGCCTTTTGTATCATATTTGATACATACTTCTATCAAATCAATATGATCGACAAATTACTAAAAACACCTGAATACAGTCCGATAAATGATAAAAATGTCCTCTTGTGATTTATCAGTTTCCAAAAACATCTAATGTATCAAACAAGATAAATAAACATATTTGTTAAATTTTAAGGACATTTTGATCTTTTTGGTTTTCAGTAGTTAGTGAAATAAACATTTCAGCTCCAAAAAAAATTGAATTTTCTGGCCATAATATGTGGTTTCGGCCATTAAAGGGATAAACATCTTTATAGCTGGGTTAAAAATGATAAGGGGTGTAACTGGACTGGACATTATAAGCAGTAGTTTACTTAAAGCAATGGTGTGGAGTTTGACATTCATACTGATGCCTTACTATGAGATACAAAAGTAAACTAATCCATCAGCGAAATGTTTAAAGACTTCTATGTCATGATTGTAATGACTGAAACCAGCATGAGGGGTAAGTGTCAGCTGAGCAGCTGGTAATATAATAATATAATCTTGTTATTAAACACACCCCTCCCTTAACAGATGTATCTCCTAATTTCTGTGGGATGCAGGGAAAGGTGTCCCTTGTTTCAGGCGCTTTAAACAGAGAAAAGTCTAAAAGCACAGCAACATCTGCTGCATTAAAGTAAAAGCCAACAGACACAATCTTGATAGCTCTACTAAAAGCAAAGTTATTTGTTAAATCCACCGAGGCCTCAAACATCACAAGAACAAAGAAACAAAAAAGCTATTTACTCTGTAAGTCTCTTTTTTTTTTTAATACAACAAGGTTTACGTGACATGAAAGAGCAAGGATAAACAGACCTGCATCCACGGAGAGAGAGACTTAAGACGGTTGACTTGGTTGATCAAACAGTAGAAAACCTGACCAACCTGACGGCCATCACTGGTGGCCTCTCATCTGTCGGCCCTGGAGAGGAGACTACTGTGTGGCACTTAAATGACAAGGGTGTGAAGTGACAGATGAGAAGCAAACACACAGAGGTCAAATCGCTCGGCACGCTGAAAGAGAGGGAAATTTTGTTGTAACTTGAGTGCTGTGATTTGAAAAAGTCATGAAACTTCAGGTGGCGACACATCATTATGTCAAAGCCAGCTCACCAGGATTGGAGTTTTCAGCAGTAACATGAGTGGACCTAAACCACTGGTGCATTAAAAACTCTGAACAACAACTACACAAAATAAATATGTACAATTTCGATTAACAGCATTAAATAGTCCAATAATTCAATAAATTTGGCTTTATTTGACATATCAGAAAAGTAGCCTAACTTGCCATGATTCAGTATTTAATGATGGGATTTCTTCCTCCCCCTTTCCCCTCCTCCCCCTCTCCTCCATCTCTCTGACAGTGGGAGACATAATCAGGTTTTGCCAGATTTGGGAGTAGATTAGCTGCCACCTTGCCTGCAGATAAGAAGCTGTGCTGATAAAGCCCTGTCCTACGAGGCACATGGCTGTGATTTAAACTCCATATCTGACAGGAGCAGATCTGCTAAGAACACAATTAAGACACTGTCTGGCCATATCTGCTCTAACTCCACTTGTGTCTGCTAATCCCTTCACTCTGTGTTGGAGAAGATGTGAAGAAAAAAAAAAAAACAGGATACTGACAAACTTTTTGGAGTTTATGGATGGATATAAACAAATTCTTGAACTGACATGGGATAAAACAGATTCCTTATTTTTTTAACTTGTCTAAGTTTGACCACTACAACTTTAGATAAGGTTATTCCACAGATTGTCAACAGTTGCTTTAAAGTAGTTTAACAATACTAAAGTGATAGAACTCAGGTAAAACCTCTGTAAAACAGACAGCCACCCTTAGGGTTGGTCAGAAGTGAAGGAGTACCTCAGGGATCTATTTTAGGTCCTCATTCATTTACCATGACACATACTGCAAAATATGGAGTACAGTTTGTGCAATTAATACATTTTAATAACATTTTTATTACATTAATACATAACTGAGTAACTCCTGTTTTGCCATGTGGGTTGCAATCCTGCTAGCTTTGAGGATGGTAGCTAACTGTGCAGTAAGGAAAAAATACTGCCAGACCGTTTCTGTCATCTGTGGTTGTGGTTGGAAGAGCATTGGTTGGTTGGCTTACAGCTTAAAAATAACATGTGACTAGAATTTCCTACCTAAAACAATATAGATATTAGTTTGAATTGATATGAAAACACTAGCTTGTGAAAAAGTATAGAAGCAGGGGTGACACGTAATTGTTTTGGCAACTAATCTCAAGCAAGTCAACATAACCCATCAGCTGAGTGAAATTAAACAGCATTTTCAATTAGTAGAGACTCCAAAAGGTTGATTTGTTCAACAGTATAACACTTTTTTCCCCCTTAAATGCTCGATTTTATCTGAATGAAACAGTTAAATTGCTGCACCACAAGACTGGTCCATCTTGTCATCTTGTCCATCTTGCACATAAGCGCCATCTTCTGGGTAAAATACTGCAACAGGTGTGTGGGTTGCAGCACACTGTGTAAATGACAAAAAAGTTATTAAAAGTATTTATTTTACACCAAATGTACTCAATATGATCAACTGTGGGGAAGGCATATAACATAATAATTGTAGATAGGGTACATATTGGTACTCAATACACCCCATGTATTTGATTTAGTGAATAGGAAACGCGGTATAACCTCCTGCTGCCCTGGAATTAGATGATGTTGAGCTGATCCAATCTGGTCTCTGATCTTCTTAAGAAAAACACAACATGGAAAATTGTAGTTGTAACGTTACCCTTTAAAAAGGGTGAAACTAATCTGGTTAGAAGACACAACCTGCCTATCTCAGCCTTGTCGTAATCCTGTGAACCCGAGACAAACAGGAGAGGCATTAAATGAGTAAATATAACACTACAGCTTTTATCCTTAATCCAATTTCTTCAGGCTTTTCCAAACATCTATTTTTGTCCCATTTTCCACCTCTGGGTAATTAGTAATAACACTAAAACAGGGCCTTTTTGAGAGCTCAGTGTATTGAGACATGCATTTACACAGGCTTTTCAACAGCATGCTGCATCCTGCAAGAAAATGCTGCTACTTGTCCTAATAAAAGGCCAAAGCTGTGTGTGTGTGTGTGTGTGTGTGTGTGTGTGTGTGTGTGTGTGTGTGTGTGTGTGTGTGTGTGTGTGTGTGTGTGTGTGTGTGTGTGTGTGTGTGTAAAATAGCCAGGTGAGTGCAGCTGAATCTGCTTGGATAAACTTGCCAGCCACAAATCCAAACCTTGAATTCCACTTCACAGTGGATGAAATGATAAAAAAAATAGCTGCATGTGCGTCCCAACAGCATCGGTATTGCTGGCATTTATTTATGTTTTCAGCCTCTTTGTTGATGGATGCATTTAAGATTATCTCCATGTCCTGAACAGCTGGAATGAATCTGTACCAACCCCTATCTGCCTAAACCCATAACTTGTGGTCCATCTTTCTGCAAATAGCAGTGTTCTGTACGAGTCATAATCGGGATGCTTTTGTTACCACAAATGCCTTCACACAACATTTTCAGCTCTTGTACAGTTTGAGTTTGCGTCTTACTTATGTACATGCATGATTGTGAGGAGGCAGGTGAGCAGGTTTACTGATATAATCCTTAACAGCCTTTTCACTGTGTAACATAGGTCTTCCAGACAAAGTAGAATAACTTTTAAATAAATCTTGTTTCATTCTGAAGGGAGAGCAACAAGCTACTTGCACTAAAGTAAAGATTGGGGAGCATCTTGTGAAGTTAAACTTAAGTATGGGTTTCACAAGTAGTTTTTCATAAGCTAAATGTGTTTTTTTGTCAAATATTCTCAAAGTGACAATCCTTTTCACAATGTAGTGCTTTGAATACTTTAAAGATTAAGTATTCTATTTTTTAGAAACCTGTAAAACCAAACATAGAGTAAAGTAATGACCTATTAATTCTACTGAATTGACAGCGAAGCTCTTCTTTTTATTTTTTTTTATCCACTTTTTTTCTCCGACATTTTCCTTACAACTGTATTATTGTTTATTTATAATTTATATTTATATATATATATTTATTTATGTATTTATGATGAAACTCGGAAATTTACAACTAAATACCTGTTAATGTATGACCTTGTTTTTTTTATACTTTAACTTTTAATTTAAAAAATGTAGAACTTTTTTCTTTTTGCAACCTTTTTCTCATAAAATTGCTGCTTTATTCTTGTAAACTGATGAATTTATTCACTGAAAATAAGACTTAATTCTTGTGAATATGCAGTTAAATTCAAGTTATAACTTTGTTGTTGTTAGATTTTATTTTTGTCCTCATTAAGTTAACTTTTTTCCGACTTTTCTCATCATATTCAACTTTGCCGTTGTAATCTCATTAACTTATCGTTGAAATCTCAGTTTTTCTGTCCTCTGTTCTTGTCCTTTGAACTAGGCTTTCTCACATTTGTGATGGTTGATTGCTCCTCACATTTATTTTCAGAGACCCTTAACTTTGATATCATATTAACATTTTTACTACTTCAAGCCTCATCTTCAGAAGTTTTGAAGGCTGATGAAGCAAATAAAAGCTAAAAAGGACACTTCCGTGACGAGCTTATCTTTCACAAACAACAAACTTCTTTTATCAGCAAGTTCAAACTCCTAACAACCTTCATTTTTGGTAATCAGTATCATCGATTTACTCAAGCAATTTCCCTGACCTGTGCTGCTGCAGACCTTACTCATGAGATCTCCTTTGGGGAATCATTATCTCGATAAATAAATATCCACAGGGGGGCTGAATGCTTCCTTTAACCCCCATTTATTATTCAGAGATAGTGGAGTGGAGTGAGAACTACAGTGAGGAGAAAACACTGATGCCTAAGTGATATGAGCAACAACCAATATAGTTAGCGACGCTTTAAAGTATCTGCACAGAAAGTTACAAGCATACAGTAATGTTTTGACCTTTTGTAACCCATGGTGACCGCCTCTGTGTTTGACACATTCAACTGTTCTCCATCTTAGTACAGTAAGACAATCTGTTGCATGTAACCGGATCCTTTTTGAATGCAGAGAAATGAATGAAACATGTGACAAGACGTGAGTAGTTATCCGCCAATCTTGCCGGGTGTTTGTTGGCAGATGGGTCTTTTGTCGGGGTAATTTGTTTGACAGAATAACCAGGTAGATAATTACCTGTTGCTTTTGTGTCTATTGGAGCCATTGTTGTGTTAAAAAAACATCCTGATAGTGAATATTCATTGGTTGGAAGGGCAACTAAAGGGGGTCATTCTGTAAAGTTGACCTAAGGGAACATGTTTTTTTGTCGTTTTAACACCTGATTTAACAAATTTAACTGTTTTTGGCATATTGAACAAAGAAAATCTGTAAAAAATCTAAACCTGAGAGCACTTTTGACAGTTTCCCTCCTAAAATTACAAGTTAAGTTAAAGTCTTGTGTTAAAACTATAAACTAAATTTACTTTTCTCAAACCTCAGCTGCACATAGGCTCAGTTGCATTAGATTGGCCCTCTATTCACCCGGGATGCAAATAAACATGATAGGGTTTTAAGAGGTTGGGGCGGAAAGGGGTGTGACCGTGGTGTTGTGTTTCATGTCAAACCACCTGGAGAGGAGACACTTAAAGCGCGCGGGTTCAGGGTGCCAGCGCCAGTAGAGAGGACAAACACGCAGAGAAGGCCACATACTTGAATGACTACACTCCACTAGCTGAACTGGACTCTGCAGTAATGGACGGCAGGATCAGACCGCTTGGCATGCCCGGGCACACCGCTAACCCACTCGGTGGCTTGCAGGTGCCGCCTTCCCTTCTGCGCCCTCCGCCCCTCTTCCTCCGGGCTTGCAACCCCGCGCTGGAGAGGGGGTACCCGCGCACCCCTAAGTGTGCCCGATGCAGAAATCACGGTGTGGTATCCGCGCTGAAAGGCCACAAGCGCTTCTGCCGCTGGAGGGACTGCGTGTGCGCAAAGTGCACCCTGATAGCGGAACGACAGCGCGTGATGGCCGCGCAGGTGGCGCTGAGGAGGCAGCAGGCACAGGAGGAGAGCGAGGCCCGTGAGCTGCGGCTCTTGTACCCCGGATCGGAGGCAGGTATCCCTCAAGGGTCCCCTGTTGGCACCGGAGTTCCAACAGCAACCAACACTCCGAGTTTTGATGTTTTTGGAGCAGAAAACCTGAAAGAAGGTATGTTAAAACACAAAAGTGCTGATTTGAGTTTCACTGTTACGATGACTAAAAAGCCCTGCAGCCGTAAATCACTGTTGTTATCAAATTACTAAAGACAAAGCGTAAAATGAACCTAAAGCTGTAGATTTGCGCATTTTACGCACAACTTAGATAACAAGAGCATAATTTTGACCGTGTTTTCTTTTTCCATTTAAGATGACAAATCAAGCAAATTCAATTTATACAACGGATTCATGGGTCGACCACTCTTTGCCCCCCACACCACAAGCCTGCCCCCAACAAATGACAAGAAGGATCTGTCTCCAAACAGAGAGAGCGTCACTTCACTAAACGATGACAGTGTGAGTCCATCGCCGGTGTTTGAGAGCCCACAGACGTCACTCTCCTCCTCCGATCCAGAGTCTGGGAGTGAATCTGAGAAACCCAGAGACTACTCGAACATGGACCGGGACCCCACTGATATTATGGCAAAGATCTTCCCCCATCAGAAGCGAGACACCTTGGAGTCCATGGTGAGAACATGCAAAGGGGACATTGTGAGGTCCATCGAGCTTGCACTCAGCTCCAAAGAGAATAAATCTGACCCTGAGGTGCCCAAGCTTTCTGCTGGCTTCCCTGGGGCGCTCGGTGCTCTCGGGAACAAATCAGCCTTCTCCCCGCTCCACCTGCCACCAACGCCCGCAGGTGGTGACAGTCTGTACGGACTCGGGCCTCGTCTCGGCGTCAGCCCCCTGCGGATGGCCTACTCCTCTCCAAACGGTGCCATGGCAGGTTTTATGTCACCGTACATGACATCAGGACTGATGCCAGTGTTTCCACTGCGCCCACCTTTGGACTCTTATTCCTTTCCGGGCATGATCAGGGACCTTGCTTACTTCCAGGGCAAGGAGTCACTATGCAGTACAGGACTTTACGCACGACTTAACGCAGAGAAATGACGGGCATGACGAATCTGCGGTTCAATTCTAATTTAAATTCACCACTCAAGTGCCTAAAACCAAGCTTACATTGTTTGAAATAAGTGCTTACCGAAAACTTAACTGAAAAAAGAACTTGACTGTTTTTATAAAATGTACAAATACGTTGTAAAAAGTTTTTAATATTATAAATAAAACTGTCAAAATATGCTCTTGTATGTGCCCTTGATTTTCTTCACCAACTGTATGTATGTATGTATGTATGTATGAATTCCCATGGTATGACACAATACACATGAAGCGTCAGTTGTTATACAACAGTTTCATGTGCAGTAGGGGAGACCAGGACTAAGGTAAGTTGTCACATTGCAATTATCTTTGCCACCAGAGGGCGCAACTAAAAAGTGGAATACTAGTTTTCTTCCTTTACATGGTCAGGGGTCGTGTCCTGTCTGAGAAGAGAAGAGCACATTGAGAGCCGAGATGAGCGTCAATTAACCATTTCACACAACCCAAAGTAAAAAAAATAACTATATATTTAAAAAAAGCTTCCTCCAGATAAAAATCCTAGCAGTGACACATGTGGACTTGTTAGAGGAGAGATTAAGGCATCCTGTCATACCTCAGTCATTGTTCTGTTTTAAGCTTTAATAAGCAAACATGGTAGTTTGGGGCAACATGTCTCAGTTATTCTGGGGTTAGATGTCACATGTTTAAAAGGGATTCAAATTAACATAGAGAGTCTGCATATCAGCAGTTGTCATAATTAAATTTTGACTTTATTTTTACAGAAAAAAAGAGTAGTTTAAAGGAGAGGAGAAAGTGAGAAGACATGGTCAGGATTTACAAAAAAAAAAAAAAAACTGAACATGGCGGTGCAGTACCTGACTGTTCATAATCACACTCTCTATTTGATTGCTTATAACTCTGCACTGAAACAAGATATAAAAATGACATGAATATTAAATATATACCTGAGACTTTGGTCTTTAATCTGGTACACATTTTGTTTGTATATGATGTATTGATTTTAAGATATATATGTGTGTAAAAAGTGTGACAACAAGCCCCGGTCTCCCCTATCTTGTAGTCAAGAATCGCAACAGCAGGGCTTGTATTATAACTAACCAATGTTTTACAGTTATTCTTTATTATTTTATCTATGCAGAGTGATATACAATAAAACCCACAAAAGAAACAAACCAATGTATAAAGTAAATCCTACAAATCAGAGAGCGTAATCCATGTTCATCTTCAACACTAGTTATATCAGCGCTTTTAGTTTTAAACGGCTTGTGACTCGCTTGCCATTCTCACTTATGATTGGTCAAAAAACCGCATGCGACTGGAATAGAAGCCAATAGAAACCCTTCGCAGCGTCACGTGACCGCGTGTTTCAGGAAGTGGAGACGGAGCCAATTTGAATGATATACGCAGTATCATGAGTTTGAAACAGCTTTGAGCGGGTTTTTCTCTCAGTCGGGAGGGCGACAGTTTACAGTTTTGCGCAGTGACATGCGTCTACACGTTATTACCCTCGCTGTCATTTGCTGTGCTTTCGTAGAGTCGCGGAAAATAAGAGGAATATCCTCGTCCTGTAAGTTCACTGTCCCCTTCGAGCTAGCTTAAGTAGCTATTATCCAGTTTAGGGATGACACTGCATGGTGAAACGGGCTGTAAACAACGTAAACAACACACCAAATTCACCGTGGACACTAGATTAAAGCCCTCATGAGGCTGTCACCTCTGCATTTGGGTATTAATAAGGGTCTCTTAGCTCTAAATCTGAAGTAGATGTTCTTTCTTGTGGTTAAAACTGAGCTGTAGGTCAAAACAAACATGCAATAGTGACCAACATGTTTCTTTTGCACCAGATAAGCGTTTCTACAAGGAGAAGAGATCCTTTCTGTGTATTGATGGATCCAAGATGATCCCCTTTGAGCGGGTGAATGATGACTACTGTGACTGTGAGGACGGCTCTGATGAACCAGGTAAGACAAAAACCGGATTATGGACCGTCCTTCACAGGGACGTTAGAAACATCTATATGTTATTGTCATGTCATTGCTGATTTTTGATGGGAAAGCCTCTCAAAAGAGTTCCTGTTTTCAGTTTATATTCATGTACCCTCAGTGGTTGTGTGGTTTTCAAACCTTTGAATAAATGAATGCTTTATCTCGAACATGCAATAAATAAAGAAAACAGAATAAAGGTAGTAACCAAACACCAACACATGCATACCATAAATAAAAGAAAAACAAGGATTACTGGCAACAACCTGCATGTGTAGGTGTATCTATGTGTTAAGTAGTAGTAGTAGAAGTCATTTATTCAGTCATGACAACACCAAATATCGTACACAATATTGACATTTCACACAAAATCACTAAATCAAGAATCATGTGTTGAATATTGACTGAAAAGCCAGAAGCAGACTGCTTATGAAAGCCTATCCTATGTTGTCAAGTTTTTAGGCTCCCGACCTCCAGAAAAGCAAAGGAACCACAACAACAGATAACTAATTGCACTTATAAGCTTCAAAAATAGTTTTACAAACATTTTCTTAAAAACCAAAAAAGAATGACATGTTTTTAGATGTATGTTGGCATCATTCCAGAATTTATCTCCAGTCATGGAGACACATCTCCTTTTCATATCTTTTCTAGCTTTTTGTACAGTAGATTTGCAAGTACCTTTGAGATTATACGGACTCCCCTTAATTGAAAAGAATCTCTGTGTTGAGTCAGGGAGCATTTTTGATTTTGCTCTGAACATTTTTTGTATTATTTTATAATAAAACAGACCTTAAAATTTCATAAAGGAGAGAAAGGAGTAGGAAGAAGTTTACGCTTATTTAGTCCTAACCTTTTAATCAACAAACCTCTCTGTCAATAAATATTGTCATAACAATGAATCTGATGTATGTTAAGTACATAATTTTTCTTTTTAGCTGTTTGGCTGTCCTTTAATGCTGGAGTAAACCAACCCCTGTAACAAATGATTATGAACAAGGAAGATAAAGAGGGTTGAGTTTATCTGAAGTAGTCATGTACAGGTGCAGCTCAAAACTGTAAAATATCCCCAAAAAGTTCATTTTCTCTCATAATTTAATGAAAAAAGTGAAACTTACATAGATTCTGGATTCATCATACAAAATATGTCCAGTGTAACCCACTGCACATCAGCAGTGCCACAGACTGATTGTCTCCACACCATGTTGAAGTGTTTCGAGAAAGTGGATTTTTGATTTTCCCGAGCTGTAAGCTAAAATCAACAAGATTAAAAAAAAAGAGTGAAAAAGAAAAATCTCTTAATGTGTGATGAATCTAGAATATATGGAAGTTTCCCTTTTTGAATTAAATAATGAACCTTTTTTTTGGGACATTCGAACTTGTTGAGCTGCACCTGTATGTTGTAATTATCCACTCAGAGATTTCAGAGTGATGACTCCTTTTCTTTTGTGTTTGATGCAGACAAGAAAGGTACCTGCTGTTTGAAAAGAGTCCAATTTCCTTTTTAATTATACGAGGCTTTTGTACTTTTTGCTCAGCCGTCATTCTTACTGTTACATTTTAAAGCACAACGTATTGAAACACATCTCTGTGCGTAAGCATCATTCAACAAAAGCCTTCCTAAACAAAGATAAACTAGTTAAATTCTCATTTGCACTGAATTATTGAGAAACTTATATTTCACAAAGCAAGTACATGCTTTGTTTCTGATGAAGAGCTTGGAGGAAGAGAGGCGGAAGGAAGTGTATTTTAATATCAGTAAACAGTAAATCTGTCCATTTCATTTCTTCAGCCATAAAAGTTTATATTGTGTACTGGGAAGACTATTTAAAGTAGACTGGTCTGGTGTCATGTTGTTGCGAAAGGTGTTCCCAGGCTTTTTCTACATGGACCACTCAGGGTTACCCATCTTAGTCCAGTTTTCAGTACCCCCACTTTCCCTCACTCACACACTCAAAGCATGCAGGGGCGAGGCTAACACAAACACCCAGGCATCTTTTTGTGGCTCGTTTTAGCATGAAGCAGAGGCAAAAAGAAGAAGTAGAAGCTGGGGTATAAACTTGTTATTGGACACATTGATGTTAAGTTTCCCAGGCATCTGTGGTTCATATGCAGTCTGAACTGTGTGCATAATATCTGTGTACAAAAAAAAAAAAAACACTCAAAAACTCCTCACAGGGATTTTAAGTACATGGACCAATGACCTCAGGCTGCTACTACTCCCGAAACATTCAAAGAAATTTTTTGAAGATGCTAAAAACTGCAAAATCAACATAAAAAAAATCAGCATCGTCTGCTTAAGTGTAATTGAGTTTATTTTGACATACTAACCTGTGCTCCTTCCCTCTTGTAGGTACCTCAGCTTGTCCTCGGGGCCGATTCTACTGCACCAACCTGGGTTTCCGTCCACACTACATCCCATCATCTCGAGTCAATGATGGCATCTGTGGTAAGGCAATCTATATGTTATTCTAGTAGATAAATATACCCTTTTAACTGTGAGAGGTTGCTTTAAAAGACTCTTGGATCAACAATGTCTCTTGCTTCAGCGTTTTCCAAGGACAACAACACATTTGTCTCAGAAATAATCCAATCTGTCTTGTTTGTTTGAAACAGCAGGTGGAAAGGTTTGGTGTGGAGTGTACTTTGAGCGTCCTTCAACTTTTGAAATTCTTAAGGGGCTGTTTTTTTTTTTTCTCTTAATTAAAATGGTTCAGCTCCTTTTTTCCACCAGGTTAGGAGTCTTCTGTGTACTTCTGCTCCTTTGTGTGCTTTGCAAACACGGACAGGAATTCATATTTCACATTATTCCGAGGAGCTGACATGTTGGTGTACAAACTGTCACTCCTTAAGAAGTACAAACAAACAGATGAAGTACTCACAGCAAACAAAACATGGCTCTCAAACACACACACACGCACGCACACACGCCATTGTGAGCTCTCGGCATACAGTTTTCCTTGAAAAACATCCTGTCCTCTCCTCAAGGCTGTCCTCTATTCTTTCTTGTAAAAATCTGCCACTCTCTAAGCGTAATCAGATAGTTTTTCAGTCCCCCCTCTTCTCGTCCACTTTTGTTCTCTGCTGGCTCTGCACTTTGGAAAAAATCAATACATTCTGTCGTCGACATCTGCGCTCTGTCACCGGCGCTTTCAACAGCGTGAGACAGCATGTAACCATTTCAGGTTAAAAAATTGAAGGCATGAAGAATAAAAGAGGAGCAGCGGTGGAATATTCCTCAAAGCCTTCGTCTCCCTGTCCTTTTCCTTTTATTCCACTCCCACCTGTCCTCCCACACCTTGCCTACATTGAATGGAGCCATTTTAATAGCCAACACATCCTTGCTTTCCCTCTTTTTCTGAACTGTTGAGAGAGTTTTATTGGCCACCCTTCTGGGCTCTTCCAGCAGTTACCAATGGGGTTCTGGGTAATTGAGAAGTATCACACTGTGCCAGCTCTCTTGGGTGAAACATCTAAGCTGATGTCAGATCTGAGCTCTAACAGAACACCATGAAGCTGTTATCGTATAAGTGGAGGATCTGGAGGGATCCTCCTTAAAGTAGAGAGAAATCATGCACACATACAAAAATCCAACCATCAGAGGGAAAGAGACGATCTAGATCACCCATAACTAAAACACAGTTCAAACACGTGAAACACAGTTTTAGCAGTGAAAGGCATTGGGTGAAAGAACTGGTGCCACTCAGAGGCGGATCTAGACTGTTTTGACTCACACTAAGGGTCCTTACACACCGGGGCCGACACGAATATAGAACGCGAAATCACGAAATATTTGGAGGCGAATTTTGACACGTCTGACTATATGCATCAAGCCCGATGCGATTTTGCGACTTTCCGGGGTGAAAAAGACGCATCCCGGGGAAGAGTTTTCCAGGGTAAAGTCCCGCCTCCTTCACCTCTGATTGGCTTGAAAAGCTTGAAACGTCATCACACGCTCAAGCCAAACGGTCAGCACTTATAGCCAATCAGAGGCGAAGGAGGGCGGGACCTTACCTTAACAACCAGTGACATGCTGGAAGCGAGAAGACAAAAATGGAGTCTACTTCAACTTAAGTGATGGCGAATTGGTACTCCTTTTGCTTTCTCAAAAGAGAAAGAAACGTAGCACATGGGTGCATCCAATATTACAAAAAAAGTAGAGAACTTGGTGAGTTTCACTGCTCGGTTCAGGAGCTGAAACTGTACCATGGTCCCTTCAGAACCTATTTTTGGATGTCCGTTGGACAATTTGAAGTTCTGCT